ACGCAGAAGATCCAACAATATTGAACTCGAACGAACGCGTACTCGAGTCATCAGCTAATAATGACAACAACGATATCTCGAGGTTGGATCCAGATGACGATGGCGCAGAGATCGTGTCAAAGCCTCTGTCGCGCGAGGCATCTCAGAACAGTCTTCGTGGTTTGGCGCGGAGGGAGTCCCTGACTGACTTGAATGACTGAGTGCTCCGTCTTTGTACATCCGTTTCATCTTGATTTGTACTACATGTTTATTTCTCTTTTATATCACTGAATGTACATAGTCCCAATTTAACTTGTTTTAGAAGACGAATCTCACTTGAGATATGAGCCTTAATACTGGTCTGTGGTGTGTTTATGTGCGCATACCTGCCCAAGCACGAGCCGGTATCGAGATCTCGATCCTCAAATGTCGACGCGCCGCATCCAGAGGGCCTTTGATGTCCATATCCAAACCGCCGGCGCTCCAAAAAAAAACCACCCTGTAGCCATTGCAGGGATGTAACGAGCAGAATCGTGGACAAGAACTTGACGGTGGCAACGGAAGCGCCCCTGTCGAATGTTCTTTGCGACACTGAATACAGGTACAGTCTAGTTCCGATGAGAGAAATCGCAGCCCGTGCCTACAGCCATGTATGTCAGTGGTCGTAGGCGAAGACAAGACTCGAACCAGTATCCAAAAACGCCTGTCCCTTTCAACAAACTTTCAGGCTGAGACAGCAGTATTAAGAACCGGTAGACCTCCCATCCTCAAAAAGTTGTTCACTAATACCTATGCAGGCGAACGCAGAGATTGTACTTACAATTTGAGTGCAATAAAAAGTCGTCATAATTACCTTCATTGGCGCTGTCCCTAGAACTGCTGGTCTACACCGCCATCGAGTTCCCTTGTACAACCAAGATCACTTTGTGGCCGGTTCCGTCCGTGCAAGATTGAAAAAGCCAACTCTTTACTGACCTCCACACCACCACTAAGCCATTGGAGAGCTATTCGGTTTGATGAATGAGGTTGACAAAATCTAATCTCTCGACGACTGGTGAAAAAACCTAGTGACCATAACAGCCGCTGAATCGAGAGCTTGAGAGAAGGATGATGAATGAACGAACACTTCATCAAAGCCTCGCCTGCCTATAAAAATATGGCTTGGTCAACAGGATATCAGAAGCACCGAAAGCCACTATGCCTCAGTACTTGATGATACGGCACCTAAGCAACCCCAGTCACGGATCTTCCCCAAAGTCACAAAGAAATTTTCACTGGAGCGAAGGACGATGCTTTCCACTGGAGAGCAGCATACATTCCATCCCCGCAGTAAAGTCCCAGCCCCAGAGGTACATACTAGTCAACGAAATGCGTTAACGTTGAGAAACGAAAAAAAATGACGATATCGCAATTGTGTATAGGGACCACGAAAGCCTTTGAGCTACGCTGCCTGAATGCTGAGACGTGTTCGTATACCAAGTCATTCATTCCGATTTGACGAGTCTGGTCGATGGATTACGACGAGATGAATGGGCCTCGCAGCCACACTCATGCATTGTAGAAACATGATGCCTCGAGACGTGAGTCCTCCCTGCAGAGGCTCCCGTGTACGACGAGTATGCGCATTTGCGAATTTAAATTTGATGGACGAGAGGCAAGAGACGGGTAGGGGCTCCTTCCGAGAAAACTCTTTTGCTCGCTTCAGGGCATGCAGGTGACCCAAATGTTTAAAATGCCTACTGACTCTCTGGATCAACAAAAGAAATATTCCTGCAGAACATGCGCATAAAGGACTGGTAGACCACAATTGGCGCTGTCCGTAGAGCTGCTAGTCTACACCACCATGTCATCTTCGTAAGGTGCTCACTGGGTAAAACAAAATGCGCAACTCCAGAAGCCACTGAGCTACTGGAGAGCTGTTTCGTCATCTACATTTGGTGCAGTGAGGGTGGCTCTCGGCGACTGGCAGAAAAACGTAAGCAATGGAAGCGTATGCGTTGCGCTGAATCTTCAACCACGTACGAGAGAGAGATGGAAGAACGAGGGCCAGCCTCCGGGCGCACAAAGACCCACCGCAGCAAAGCGTCAACAGCCTATAAAAATAATTCTGGAAGTGATTGGAAGAAGCAACGAAAGCCACTATGCCTCAGTGCTTGATGAGGCAGCACCAAGCAAGCCAGTCACGAAGCTTCCCCCAAGCCACAGAGAAATTTTCTTCGGGCGATGGACAATGCTTTCAACACAGAAGCCGCTAAGCACTGGAGAGCAGCATACAGTCCATCCGGCAGTAGTCCCAGTCCCAGAGGTACATACTAGTAAGATCTGTCGAGAGAAACAAAAAATGGCGACATCACCTACGCAAATGAACAACGAAAGCCATTGAGCTACCGTACCCCAACGAGAGTCCGATTGCCAGCTTCCCTCCGACTTCCGATGAGGTGTTCTAAAAAAAAAAAGTGCACCGAGACAGCGAATCCGCCGGCACCTAAGCAAGTCAGCTAGGAATCTTCCCCCAAGCCACAAAGGAAAATGCCTCACCCGCGAAGAGGCCAAACTTCATCGGCTCTTCTAGCAGAGGCACTTGATGTCCGCTTTTCAGATTGCTAGGAAGCTCTGTGTGTTGTTCAAAGGGGATGCGATATTATACATACGACCATTGATAGATACTTTACAATACATGAAGACGATTGATCGGGGCTTGTATAGTGTGAGACGCGCAAAAAACGAAATCTTAATCTGGCCTACGCATTAGTAAGTGTAGAGTTGAAACGACATATACAACTCACATATAAAATCACTCCCCTTCCTTCAAAAACGCGTCCAGCTCGTCATCAAGCTCTTGCTGACTCTTCTTTGGGCGCTCCCTTCCGCCTCTCTCCTTTTCGTCACCTTCCCGGGGTCTCCTTCCACGACCGCCGCGTCTACGCCTGTCTCTACCTTCCCCATCCCTTCTCCGTCGATCACCGCTCCCGTCGCTATATACGCGGCCTGGTACGCCGTCAATGGCTCTGATAACACTCGTACGTTCCAGTAACGTGCGCCCATCCGATGCAATATAGTCTGAGCGCATGCGACTCGCAAGAATGGGCTCTGGTTCCGGCTCTGGCGAATGGTCATCCAAGAAATTGTCCAGCTCAAGATCCAAGTCCTCCCCGCGTCTCCGTCGTTTGCGTTTATAGAACTCGCTTTCTCGTTTAGCGCCACGCTTCTTGACGTCAGTGGCGAGCGCCCATCGCATGCGGATGAGACCGCGGGCTTTAGTGTATGCGGAGGGTTCTGACGGCGCGAGCAATGTCTGGGATATCCGTTCCTCGGGTGGTAGGAGTGTTAGAGGAATATTATGGGCGAGCATAAACCCGTCCTCGTCGGGAGCCTCGCCTTGCGTCTTTGCGAGTGCAGCAAAAGCCTTAGCAGCCTTGCCGCGACCGTCAAACACGAGCACGCATGTCTCGTCGTTGATCCACTCCAGCCCGAGTGGCGTAACACCAAACTGGGCGCGTAGGCGAAAAGACGAACAGTGGGAAGAGTGGATATGGGTGGGCCAACGAGAAGAATCGCGTTGGAACGCTCGTTGGGGTCGCCGTCGGCCAGAACGGACATGTCGACGTCGAGCTCGGGGGTTGGGGACCGGGACACTGAGCGCTTACGCTACAGAGCGGGACGTTGGCCAGCGGCATGGGTCCGTGAAATGGCGCACCTTCTTGCGACTGCTGAATTCTTCTTCCAAGAGGTACACCTTGGTCTTGCCGATTCGGTTTGCAAGGCTCTCTTTCTGCTCTTCATAAGGCGTCGTGTCCGAGTAAGATAATATGACTTCATCCTCGGGGAGCGCGTCGGGCAGGTCGGTGAATGCCACTCTCGGTGACGCGAGACTCTCCATTGTCGTTGACGTCGTGGGGTAAAGCAGAGGAAGGAATGATCATGAGCGTTGCTGATTAGCCTATCTGTACGGATCTATATACTCACAAAGACTCAGTTACAAGGCAATGTGACCGAGTGGTTAAGGTGTTGGATTTAAGTCCCAATGGGTGCTAACCCGCGCGAGTTCGAACCTCGCCGTTGCCATGGGTTTATTCGGTATTCCTTTTCAATGAAGTTCTTTTTGGCCCAGCGTTGAGGGTGGTGCAGTAAACTTAGGGTGGCGCAGTAAACCTCATATTCCCGCCACCCCCAGGCTCTCTGAGTGCCGCGCCCTTAGTCACGTGCCGGTATCGAAACCTACCCGCACATCTTCGACGGTTTCAATACCGTTATTTACCGCAGTAAAGCCAAGGTTCATCAAAACCTAGGGCTTACTTCACCACCCTAGCCGGTCGAGAGAATACTCATTAGGTTTTGTGCAGCTGATCTCATTGGACATCCAACAGACTAGCACTCCGATGACTCAGTGGCTTCTGGAGCGATGTGGAGACCAAATGTTGCGTTCACATTCTTTTTCAATTCTGTACGGACAGAAACGGTGGCCACAAAGTTTACAACACTACAATGAAGGAAATTGAACGAGGCTCGGTGGCGGTGTAGACCAGCAGTTCTAGGGACAGTGCCAATGGCTTGAAACTTTGACAGCTTTTATTTTTCACATTCACATTGTAGGTTCAACTGTTCAGGGCCAACATCCCAAGTGAGATTCATCTCCTACAATAAGTCAAATTGGGACTACTACATAGAGTGACATACACATATAAGTAGTATACATAAACAAGAAATGAATGTGTAGTACAGACGGAACACTCAGTCATTTAAGTCAGTCAGGGACTCCCTCCGCGCCAAACCACGAAGACTGTTCTGAGATGCCTCGCGCGACAGAAGCTTGGACACGATCTCTGCGCCATCGTCATCTGGATCCAACCTCGAGATATCGTTGTTGTCATTATTAGCTGATGACTCGAGTACGCGTTCGTTCGAGTTCAATATTGTTGGATCTTCTGCGTTTGGTAACACCCCATAGTTGTAGTTGGAGTTAAAATGGAAAGGGTATGGCAAATAGTCCAAGGGGAAGGACGGCGCCGGATAAGGATCAGACGGGCCCCATGCCTGAGAGAGCGGTGGTGCGTATGAGCTGGAACCAGCGGAGGCATAATCGTAACGCTCGCCAGTCGTGGACGCGGCGCTCGACACAATTGGATGGGACGGGACTGTAGAAGGTGCGGTAATTACTATAAGACAATGCGCTTTTAGACCATTGGAAAACAGCACATGAAATGAAACGACTTACCCTCTCTTGCCTTTCCTTTCCCTTTCGCTTGAGGCGGAGGCGGAGGCGGACGATGCAAATCCCTCTCTTGTTCCTCTTCATCAACCTGCTCGTTCCTCTTCCGCTTATTGTTATTGGAGCTACTTGATGTTTCAGCACTTCCACCGCTCGCAGACTTGCCTTTCCTAGGCCCTCCCCGTAGACGCGTCTCGATGCAGTCGGGGTGCTTAAAGTCGAAAACCTGTTTGTATGTGGGCTGTGCGGGGGGTGCGGGTGTGAGCGTTACTTTGCGAGGCTTGCGATTCCTTTTGGGTTTTCCAACGACTACTGAAGATGTGGAAACGGGAGTGTTTGCGGCCGAAGAGGAGGAATGGGGAACGGAGACGCGGGGTGTCGTGCTTGAGGGTGGCACGACGGTCAAATTTGTCTGGCGTGTCGCGTTTGGCGCGTTACTCTGTCCCTTTGCAGGAGCGTCCGATGCTGTTGGAGATGCCGAAGAAATGTGCGGCGCCGAGGATTGGGGAGGGGCGACGCGGCGTGTCGCGCTCGAGGATGGCATAACGGTCACGTTGGTACCAGCCGCATTAGGCACGTTGGAGGTGTCGTGCCGGGTTGTCGGTGAGATCTTTTGGGAGGAGGGGATCAACGTGACGGGATAAGGGACGGGCGGTGTGTACGGGTTTGTGAGATTCCCATTGTTGGGGTCATAAGGGTTCGTCTGGTACGCCGGAGGCAAGAAAATGCGCGCGCCTTGCTCTGCAGCGCCTCGTCCGAGCCCATTGCTGTGATATCCATGAGAGTCATTAAGGCCTTGGTAGTGGTCGACATGATTATCTAGATGATGGAGAGTGGGGGCGGCGCGGGGACCATGGACAGAGGGGTATGTGGGTATAAAGCCGGGGAAATTTGGCGCAGTGAATGCGTAGGCGCCTGCGCCATTGTTGACTGCATTGTTCATCGCGGGGTGATATGGTGCCGCGAAGTTAATAGGGTAAGTAGCCCGATGATTGAGCTGTTCGGGAGATCTGGACGCGTTAATGGCATTGGGAGTCCTGCCATTGTTAGCGTCGTTGTGCGATGTGCCACTGAGTTTCGCGGGCAATGGGAGTTCTTGGTCATGGTTTGGGAGAGGATAACGCGTCGAGGACATCTTGGTAGATGAAATAAAGACAAAAGATAAGAGTGTGGACTGAGATGTCGCGGGAGATGAATGTGGTTGAATGTTAGAATGCAAACAAGGCCGGAGAGATCGAATAGGCGCCATTGTGTGTCTTTGTTTGGGCACAAACAATGTCACCTGCTTTCTGATTTTTCTGGACATTTTGAGACTACAAACGCGTCGGTAGTGCATGCTTCAAGCAGTAGCAAAGAAGTATTCCAAGTTTTGTTAATTGATTCTGCGTCGCGAGTGACATCGAGGAAGTGTGGCGCATTTACGCCGATCAAAGTTGACAAGATAATCAATTCCAGAAAGCACGGATAGAACAATGGCTTCTTGGTCGTGGCGAAGGCGGGTAGAGTAGATCTAGAATGATCAATCAGCGGTTTTTTCCCTTATGAACTCTCCACCTCGAAGCAATGGCGGACAATGCGCTGGAGGAATCATTCAAAAATCATAGGAGCATCGTGATCAACGATGATAATGACGCATATCGCATGATGCTGCTATCCACGTCCGAGGAGAGCAGCGGCTTGTGATCAGCCTCGTAAGTATGCACAGTGCGGTGCGCCTCGCACATAAAGCGGCCCACTACTTGCGCGTGAATGTGCCTACGGCAAACAATTGGAGGTCCGGAAATACCTGATTGAGATAAGCGAGAAATCCTAGCTGGGACGACCATGAGACCAAAGGTGCTCAGCGATATGTAAATGTTGACACAAGGCCAACCCACGATGTGGATCGGTTTCGTATAGCGATTTGATAAAATTATCCAGAGGGTGGACTACGTGCCGAGTATAATAGGGAACGTGCTGGACCGGGAGGAGGTGCCTATCCCGCGTTGTAATGGTACGAGTATAGGGCGCTAGCGTCATTGCCGAGTTTCTCAGTTCTAAAAGAGTCTATTCGCAAAGTCGTAAGAGGGTGCGCCGTCCTGTGAACAGTGACTCCCATGGTACGGGACGTGTTCGTTTATCGAAGTCTTTTGCGAGTCGGCGGAATTACTTGCGCGTGACTGATAATGTCAGTCGTACGGCGAAGAATTGAAGGTCGGGAACTACCTGACCAAAATAAGCGAGAAATACTAGCTGGGACGACCATGAGCTCGGCGATAGGTAAATGCTGACACCGGCGCCAAACCACGATGGGTATCGGTTTCGTATACTTGGCGATATATCCAGAGGGTGAGCTACGTGCCGAGTATAATACTATTAGGGAACGTGCTGGGCCGGGAGGAGGCGTTGTCATGGTCCGAGTATAGTTATTGCCGAGTTTCTCAGCTGCAAACTAGTCTGTTCGCAAAGGGTGCGCCATCCTGTGAACAGCGACTCCCATGGTACGGGACGCGTTTATCAGGGTTTTCAAGTCTTTTTTTGTGTGTCGGCCGTAGAGCGGAGGAGCCCCCGCACTCCTAGCCCCAAGATCCTGGAGCTTTGGTCGCGCAGATAGATGTTCCGAGAGTTCGTTAGAGACGGCCGAAGTGCGATAGCAGTAACCACTCCGTGTGCTTGTCGGTCAAACAGATGCGGTCGGGAAGCAAGTCCGAAATAGGACGCTTGGTGATCGCCACCGCACTACTTACAACGCGGAGTCAATTTATGTCGAGTCCCTGTTTGAAGACGTACATAGGTGAACAAGTCTTTGAGGATAGGTGGTCTACCGGTCCTTAATACGCTGCTGGAAGTTTTTCTCACTGATTGAACTTGTAAATGACAGGCTTCGTCCGACGTCCGTCATGACCACTGATACATAATAATACAATGATACATGGCTGTAGGCGGATTCACGTCGGGCTGCGATTACATATACCTGTGTTCAGTGCAACAAAAATTCGACAGTCCAGTGGATGCGGCGCGTCGACATTTGAGGATCGAAGAGGTAGACAGCTCCCCGGTGGCTTAGCGGGGGACCTCTGGGTCAGAATAAGTAAATCTTGTTGCTTTTTTAAATCCAAGAGGGTTTGTGGGTTTCTCGCTTTGTCTGTCCGCTCATTCACATTGTTCTACTTTGAGATGTAGACATGCAAGCAGAGATGTGAATGACATAACTAATGGCTCAGATTGTCCTCACATACCGAGTCGACTTTAACAATGGAATAACAATAATAAAATGTCTCAATCATATTACTCCCCAAGCACTAAAATAACCCCAGTCCTCCCTAACAAATCGCAGCATATATTCAGCAACAGTACCGCCCTCTTCTCCATCCTCCTCGTTCTCCCTACTCCCAGTCTCCCCATCACGCACCACAGAAGTAGTCTGACCTCCATCCCCAAAATCCATGCCGTCCATATCATCCTCCTCTCGCGCCGCAATATCTGCTGCGGCTCTATCCTCCTCATCCTCAACGGACGCCATCGCCTGCGTCATCTCCACATCCTCAGCGACCCCATCCTGATCACGCACGTCACCGTCAAACACACTCTGCCAATCAAACCTGCCCCGCTTCATCACCAACGCATCCAGCGTCCTCTTCTGATTCGCCCGCTTCAACAGCGCCTCCTCCACGGTATGCTCCGACACAAGACGGTAGACGTGCACGTCCCGCACTTGTCCAATACGATGCGCACGGTCCTCGCACTGCCGATCCATCTGCGGGTTAAAATCGCTGTCGTAAAATATAACGGTCGACGCGCCGGTCAGACTATACGGGATGCATCAGTGGTAGCAAAAGGTACTGGAGACGAAACGCCCACTTAATGCCTACGCCAC